TATATCCATATATGATCGAGTACATACCATGTTTGTCTTTTTGTGACTGGGTTACCTCACTCAGGATAGTTTCTTCTAGTTCCATCCATTTGCCTGTGAATTTCAAGATTCCACTGTTTTTTTCCCACTGAGTAGTACTCCATTGTGTAAATGTACCACATTTTCTTTATCCATTCTACAGTTGAGGGGCATCTAGGTTGCTTCCAAGTTCTGGCTATTACAAATAATGCTGCTATGAACATCGTTGAACAGATGCCCTTGTTGCATGAATGTATTTCTTTTGAGTATATGCCTAAGAGTGCAATTGCTGGATCTTGTGGTAGACTGATTCCCATTTTCCTGAGGAACCACCATACTGATTTCCAAAGTGGCAGTATGAGTTTGCACTCCCACCAGGAGTGGAGGGGTATTCTTCTTTCTCCACATCCTCTCCAGCATAAACTGTCATTGGTGTTTTTGGTTTTAGCCATTCTGACAGGAGTGAGATGGTATCTCAGAGTTGTTTTGATTTGCATTTCCCTGATGACTAAGGATGTTAAGCACTTTCTTAAGTGTCTTTCAGCCATTTTAGATTCCTCTATTGAGAATTCTCTATTTAGTTCTATACTCTACTTTTTAATTGGATTATTTGGTGTTTTGGTGACTAGCTTCTTGAGTTCTTTGACAAATCCAACATCCCTTCATGATAAAGGTCTTGGAGAGATCAGGGATGACAGGAACATACCTAAACATAATAAAAGTAATATATACCAAATGGAGAGAAACTCAACACAATTCCTCTAAAATCAGGAACAAGACAAGGCTGTCCACTCTCTCCATATTTCTTCAACAATGTGCTTGAAGTTCTGGCTAGAGTAATAAGACAGCAAAAAGAGATCAAGGGGATACAAATTAGAAAGGAAGAAGACAAACTTTCAATATTTGCAGATGATATGATAGTTTACATAAGTGACCCAAAAAATTCTACCAGGGAACGCCTACAACTGATAAACACCTTCAGCAAAGTGGCAGGATACAAGATTAACTCAAAAAAATCAGTAGCCCTGCTATATTCCGATGACACATTGGTGGAGAAAGAAATCAGAGAAACATCACCCTTTACAATTGTCACAAACAACATAAAATACCTTGGGCTAACGATAACCAAAAAGTGAAAGACCTGCTTGCATTTTTTAAGCGCTAATTTCTTTCTCAGGGTTTCAAAGGTATAGCTGCTGTCATTAGTTTTCTGGACTTCTAGATCCTCTAGAAGGTAGTTGGGTCTCTATTTATTTTATTTATTTAATTAATTAATTAATTTATTTATTTATTTATTTATGCATTCTGTGTGTATGGTGTGGTAATTTCCATGAGATTAGTCCCCACAGGTTGGCATATTTGCATGCTTGGTTCTCAGCTGGTGGACTATTGTGAAGTATTAAGAGGTGCGACCTTGTTGAAGTAGGT